GTTTCGCCCCCCTCCCCCCCCCTTGGCGTAGAGGGGGGGGGGGGGGGGGGGGGAGGAGGGAGGGAGGGAGGGGGGAGGGAGAGGGGAGGTGTCAGTAAAAAAGTTTCAGTTGCAAAACAAGTAGGCAAGTAGGTTAGTGAGGCGGTCGGTAGCTGCCGTTTTTTCAGAAACTTCAGGAAATAAATGGAGAAAATCAGGTGAAACCTTTTTTTTAAGCAATTCTTTTGAGTGCAGATAAAGCCAATTCTTGAAGATTAAAAATGACCTGCAAGGGTGGGGGGGAACTGTGAAAAAAATCTCCGTGTGTATTTTTAAAACAGGTACACACCACCAAAAATGTGTTTTGGCTAGTTCAAATGAGATCTGAGCCTTAGATTGCTGCTGCTCTGATGGAGAAGAAAGGAAAACGATAAAAACGAAAGCTAATTGAAAAAAAAAATGACTTGAAACTCTACGGCAAACCTTTTGGAAAGAGCCCTGGTAAGAAGGCTTGAAGCCTAAACCACTGTTAATCTGAACTCCATGGAGGAAGGAGGGGGGGGTGGAGGGGAGTGGACAGGGGGAAATAATGACGGCCAGGCAGGCACTTTGAGAGAGCAAACAGGCAGAAGTTGAGCTCTACCAGTCAGAAATAAATATCCTGGAGCTTAGCTGGCCATCAATATTGCAAAACATACCATTAAAAAAAAAATACGGAGCCAAGTATGGTGTGACACTTCTGTAATCCCAGCTCCGAAGAGGCTGAAGTAGGAAGATCATGAGCTCAAGGCTAATTTAAGCTGTACAGTAAGAAGCTGCCTCAAAAAAAACAAAAGTTCTGAGCCAAAGGTAGAGCAAAGAAGCAAGAATATAACTTGTTAAAAAGCTAGAGAAAGTGTTTTTAATTTTTAAAATATATAATGTGAAAGGTTTTAAGGTTAAGATACAAGAAGTTGACACATACGTGGGATGGAAGCTAATATTTAAAAGCACTGACTTGAAACTATTATCTTTGAATAAATGTATCAGAAAAGTTGGTAAACAAGGTACTTAAGAGAACTTTTCAGATATACTTGTGCTTTTAAAAAGTCACAATAAATAATTCTGATGAGGACAGGAGATCCCTTTTACTAGTCAAAAAAGAAAAGTAAATCTATGAACCCACCCCAGCTTTTGAATAAGATCTGGTACCCTTTCTAACCCATCCATCCTGAGTTTATGTGCTCTTTCCTGTCCCTTACATTCTGGGTGGTTTGAGCTAGGATTGGCAATGAGGAGAAAATTTGTTCTGAGCCTGATCTCCATTTTTTTTTCCTCCCAGTAATTCTTAGGTTAAATAGATTTATCTACCAAACAGAAAAAAATAAAGCTACTGAAATGCTAGGATTTGATCACAGAGTTCTCTCAAACCCATGTTCTCTGAATGATTTGTTATAACTGCTCACTGAGACATCAGGATCCTTTCTAAAAGCTGAACAATGGCATGTCAACAAACAGGATTCTATATGAGGAAGCATTCCTGTAATCCCAGACCTTGGGAGGCTGGGAGACATGTGTGTTTCAAGCCTACCTAGGAAATATAAGAAGACACTATATCAAAACAAAACAAATCATTTGAATAGATTATTACCTATATACTCATGGGGAGGTTTCCCCAGAGTTTTTCAAATTGTGTTTGTTTTTTCTACCATAAATCCTTCTTCAAAGATACATAATGGAACTAGGAACTTTTTCTCATACCTAGGGGGACTAATGGAGGAAATAAGAAAACTTGTCCTAAAGTCTTAGTGCACCAATGTGAATCAGTTTTTGTTGTTTGGGTGGTGGTGGTTGGAGGTACTGGGGGTTAATCGTTCATGTGTAGCTTTCAATTCTGGATACATACAGTTAGTAACACTTTTCAGAAGCTGCTTCAGACTCCTCCAATCTTTGAAACATCATATTTTTTACAGCATTTGAATTTTAAAGGCATTTTCTCCTGTTGTTAGCCCTAGTCTGTTGCAACTATTTGTAACCTGAGCTCTTAGTTAACCTCTCTGTGTAATAATCTCCTAAATATCACAATGGAACTAAATGGGATAACCTACAAAGACCATTTAGCACAGTGCTGGAATTTATATAGTGTCTGTTTTATTGTCAGGTACATTGATAATGCTACTATTAAAATTAATTTCTAAAAGCTAGGAAATTGCAAGTCAAACAATTCAAATTATAGGAATTGGTTAGGCACCAGTGATCCATGCCTGTAATTCTAAATACTCAAGAGACTGAAAAACCAGCCCAGACCAGAAAATCTGAGACACACAATCTAATTAACTACCAAAAAGCCAGGAGTGAAGGTGTGGATCAAATGGTAGAGTGCTAGCCTTGAGTGAAAAACCTAAGGGACAGTGCCCTTAGCCCCAACACACTTTCTTACACACACTCACCCATAGGAAATAGGAATTTTTAAAAGTTCAGTTCCAGAATAAGTTGACAAACAGCACAAATGTCAGGTCTTTGGGAATGGTGTTTTAAGAGTTCAGAAGGTCCTTTCTATAGAAGTAACTATTAAGACAGTTAA